AGCACAGTCACGGCCTAACTTTCACTGCAGGCTGAAATCCCACGCTTTCAAACTATATTTCTGCTAATATTTGCAAGCAGCTGTTATGAAATATGAATACCACGCTCAGCCTTTTTTTTTTTTTTTTCTTCTTTATGTGTGTCCTTTAGAGTCCTTCAGGTTCAACAGCTCAGGAGTGAACTCCCGGGCCTGGCTCAGTGTCAGAGTGAGGCGCAGGGGACACATCAAGACCCTGGACACCAAACCAAACTAGAACATGCACCACCACAAAGAATTAAGGAGATTTCCAAGAGGTCAGCGTTTGTCAATATTGTCTTGTCTACTTTAAAACTATATTTCACTGTAATATGAAGTTAAAGGGTATCTCTGATTCTGAATAGTAAGTTTTGCTAATCTTATAATTGACATATTATTTTTCTATACGAGGACACCTTGAACTTGATTATCATACTTTTATTAGGGCCTCTTCCCTAAGAAAATAGTAGGCTCAGCTAATCTTTAACTGTTACCCATTTTTAGAAAGTTTGCTGTTTGTTCAATCTGGCACAAAGAACTGGATTGTTGCTGTGGTAAAGGACAGTTTGGCACACGTAGTTCCAAAAAGACTTGAACTAGTGTGCTCTTATGTTTCATTTTTACGTTTTAATGTACAGACTATAGACGATTCCTGTAAAAAATACAGTAATTGTGTGGAATTGCCTGTTATTTTGTTCACTTTAAGTACAATAAATGCATATATCATGACTTCAAGTTGTACGTCCATGACTATCTAAATACACACTTATCAGTCAGAAAATAAAAAATTAGCTGCTACAATTGGAAATACATGACAGCCAAGTAAAGCTAACGCTGATACACACTGGAAATAACCACTGTGGTGCATGTGTGGACATGATGCAAATACTATTATTTACCTTTCATCACAGCAGGGCAGTTTGTAATTTCATAATGGTTTTCTAATAATTCCTAATAATTGAACATTTTCTGAAAACAACTTTGCTAGCTACTCTGCGCCTTCCAACAGAGGAGCCGCTAGTCGTCCAGTTAAAACTTTGTATAATCCCGCTCCTTTCACTGCTTCCAGGTGAGTCATTCAGAATGAGTAGCTGCCTCACAGTCCACCAGGTTTAGCTGCATTTTAGGCCTGCTGCTGCTAACGCTCCCCTACAAGCAAATCACTCCAGATGTTCTGCTGTTGGTTGCAAGAGTGAACACAAGCATCTTAATGCACTGCTGGCATCTGGGGAACTGAAGCTGAGGTAGAATTACTTATATTTTTGCCAGCAATGTCCCCACAAAAATGGAAAAATCCCAGTGTTTGCATTTTGTATGGCTAATGTTGCCTTTAGCTTTGATTGTGTGCCCACAAACCAAAGCTATGTGGAAATTGCAATGCAATAAACAGCGAATGGTTTGGTTAGTGTGTTTACGTGTCACCTGTTGTGCTTTAGTGCAACCTAAACTTAGCTTGTCATTAGTTGCAGATTACACTCTTTATGTCAACGTTGTCAAAATCCACTTAACTACAGGAAATATTAACTACAACCTCTGAGCAGCAGCCTACCACACTGAAAGTGTTTTAAACAGCAAACCCCGGGGCATTTGAGGAAATACTGTGGCTGCATTCCAGCCTTAGTTCCATCCAAGATGACTGGGAGAGATTTAAAGAAATACAGACAAGCCAGTGCATTTTGATTTTTCACCCCTATAGCAGACTGACAGTAAGGTGCAGCCTGACTACGTGAGCTTAGCTCATATATGCTGCATTTTACTACAGCCAAATTCCCAACTGAAATTTTGTTGTTGTTGTTGTTGTTTTTTTCATATATTTCTTTTTCTGCAAGCATGAAATAGTGACAGAAACACAGCACTTTAGGACTATTGGCGGTCACTTCATACTCTAATGTCTAGGCTAAATTGAATTGAATGCAGCATCTGGACAAACTCACCATACATGGGTTAAAAACAAAAGCTGTGCTGTGCATTTGGCATTGTTTTCATGTCAAATAATCACAAAGATACAAAGTTTGTAGTGATAGAAAGTAACTTATTCATGTCCGTCCGCTCCTGTGCAGTCAGCTGTTTCTCTGTGCTGTCAGTCATGAATACAATGCAGAGATCTTCTTCCTGAAGGGTGCATGGGCAGCAGCTGCTCAGCTACAGAAACCAAAACAACCTGTTTAGAACTAAAACTAGATGTTGCACATTCATGGTAAAAAAAAATAAAAAACAAGTAGGGGTCCTCGGACCCTAATAAAATATATGATCTATCTTTGTAATATTTTTAGCTTAAAAGAGAGAAAGACACACGTGAGACTTTAATGGATTTCCTGAAAAGGGTCACAATATGGGACCTTTTATTTGGCAATACTGCGATTTTAGTGACATTTTTTAATGTTATTTTTTTAATGAAAGAGATGAACCGTCTAGTAAGTGATAACAAATTCCAAACAGGGCCTCACATTAACTTTGTGGTCCAAGTCAGAGCAACTATTCAGCTGCTTTCCCAGCCACACAGAAGTTGTTACCAAGCAGGCTGGCGCGGTGTAATGATGTCCATATAAGGTCAGATGCGTCACGCAGGTAGCCGCGTCAGCCAATAGGAGTGGAGTCCTGTCGTGGACCCAAGCACGTGCTCTCCATGCTTTTTTTACTTTCTCTTTCGGCGCGTTTCTCGGAATTTGTTGAGACAAGTTCCACCTCCGAAGTGCGAAGTCACTGTGAAGTGCGAGTTGGAGAATAACAACACGTTTTTCAGCCGCCTGCGTCTCCTACAGAACTATGGAAGTATGTTGAAGTGAATGCCCGACCTACTTCTCAGTCAGACCAGCTGAAAACACGCCTCAGACCTGGTAAGATCGGATTTATTTTAAGAACAGGATTTTTTTTTTTTTTTAATCTAGAAAATGTGGGTATATGGTTAAATCAAGAACAAAATATTATGTAATGGAAGTTTTTGAGCGACTTTAAGGAAGTCTTACTGTAAATGTGTTGAAGTGAGGCTATTTTATTAGCTTCTGCTGTTGTGATTACACAATAGCTGCTAAAAAAGAAAAAAAAAATCACTCACACTCACACAGAGGCGTCAAAATCATAGACCAAATCAGTGGTAACATATTAACAAGTTGGTTACCGGACATAAATATGTGCTCATCAAGCAAAGTAAATAAATAAGAAAGGAACCAGCTGTAATCAACAGGCCTAGATACTTAAGAGGAGGAAGAAGAAGCTTTGTTGTCATCGTACAAGAAAAACAACGACATTTCGCTTGGTATCATCTTTGCAGCAGCTAGTATGGTCACAAGAAAAAAAACGTTTAAAGATGATATATACAGTTGTCCTCAAATGTGTTCATAGCCTCCCATTAAAGAAGGAAAACAAACAGCTGTCACTGAAATACATCTACATTATATAGTTTTTTAAAAAATGAAAATCATGACATTGCTTTTGAATTGGGTTTCAAAAGAAATATATATAAACTAATACTAATATTTTGTTGAACAACCCTTTGAGCCAATCACTGCAGTCAAGTGTTTTCTGTAACTCTCAGTCAGACTTCTGCACCTGTTGACAGCTATTTTGATTTTGGCCACTGCTCATCAGCAAAGTGCTCTAATTTGTCTGGGACAGTTTTGTTTGTTTGTTTGTTTTAAATATTCTTTTCAACCACGATTCAAAAGCAATGTCTTATTACACTAAATTATAATTTAGCAAATTTTTATTTATTATTACTTTTTTCAGTTTCTAGTTATTTGAGTGACTATTGTGAATTTTGCCTTGTCTTTAATGGAAGGGTGTGAATACGACTGTAGATACTTAAGAAAAACCTATATTTTGCTTTGAAAACAGGAAATGGATTTCCAAAAGCTTCTGTTAGACATCGGCAAGGCCCTCAAAAGAGACGAGGTCAAAGCTTCAGCCTTCCTTTGCATTGACCTCCTGAGCCGAAACCCAAACTCGGTGGAGTCAGCCAGCGACCTCTTCTCTCGCCTGGTGGATCAGGACCACCTCTCACCTGAGAAACCACACCTGCTGAAGGAGCTTCTTCTCACCCTCCAGCGAACTCGTCTGCTCCGCGACCTCGGCCTCGATACCCTACCTACCAGGAGCCTCATCTCTCCCTACAGGTGGGCGACCCGTGTTTTGTTTGTTTTTGTGAGCGTGTGATTTAGATCACAAAGAAACAACTGAAACACACAGTAGTGAATAAATCATATGTACAAAAAAAGAGGCAGACCGAGAAATTAATGCAGCATCTGCTTTGACGTACTGCTCATTAAGGATACACAGATTACTGGTGTTCTCCAATTATGAGTATTACTGTTCTGTATATTTGATTTTCAGTAAAGTTATATTTGAAATGTGCTACGTTGGCTCTGATGCAGCCCTCTATTTTTACTGGTGACGCACCAGGGTTGCAACCAACAATTATTTTGATTGTCGATTAATCTATTGATGATTTTCTTGATTAATTGATGTTTGGTCTATAAAATGTTGAAAAATGATGATAGATGTTGATCAGTTCCGATGCCAATACATGTGAGTCTCCATCTCATAGTTAGTCCATTGACATGTTTAATTTAAAATAGGGCATTCTGCTGTTCAGCACATGTCTTGGTCTCTCTCAGCCAGCAAGCTCATATAAAGGTGCATCGTGTGGGATTTAGTGGCATCTGACAACCAGCTGAACACCCCTCACCTCACCCTAATGTCCCATTTTAAGGGAATAAAAGCACAACAATGTAATGTTTTCAGGTGATATACACTAATGAAAACAGAATTATGGATGATATATTCTGCCCTTAGATCATCCTAATGTCTTCACACTGGGTCTTTGATGGATCCTCATCAAAAATGAGTTTTTTGTTAGAAAATAAATATGTTTAGGCAGTATTTCCTTATGTTGGGGATGTTCTTGGCATTAAGCAGTAACTTTATGGAGTTTTCGTTGGTTGCCTGGCAACAACATTCCTCCAAGACTCACATGACTTCTGTGAAACAACACCCTACTGTCATTTTTACAATCTGTGTTTCTTACAGCCTAAATTAACAAGATATAACTTGCCAATGAGCGAGCTTTAGAGGTGCTGGTATTAAATGAGTGCCTGCAGGTTGCATCAATCAAACTCTCAGTCAGAAAGTGACTGGGTGTATTTTCCTAAATGTTAAACCATTCTTCATCAAACTGCAGTGACCCGGCACTGAAAATGTAAATTTTCTTTGATTCCAGGAAGCTGCTTTACAACCTGTCAGAGGAGATCACCAATGATGAGTTGAGAGAAGTGAAGTTCTTGTTAAACAAACAGCTTCCACGTAGAAAACTAGAGGACAATGTCGTGAGTTCTTCTTCAAAATTTTACTGTTTGAAACTAATGTTCACCATTTGTGTAAAATCACAGGTTGTTGTGTTATAAAAACTGCATAGATGCCAAATCTTCTCTGGTCAAACTGGATTAAAATGTTTTGGTAGAAAGATAGTGTTAGAAACATACATGTTACAAGGTGTGTCAGAAGAGTTCCAGGACTGAAAAGGTATATTTCAAACCCAAACTACAAACCATGAGTTTCCCCTTCAGACGATCAACCAGCATGTCTACAAAGAGATCCTGTTTGCTTCGTTCAGTGCGTGAGAAGAGGCGAGAGTTGTGGCAGGACAAGTTGTGGCTGCTTCACCATGGCAACGCGCCTGCTCACAATGCCCTGAGCATCCGACATATCCTGGCTGAGAAGAACATCGCTGTGCTGGAGCAGCCTCCCTACTCACCCCACCTGGCTGCATGGGATTTTTTCCCTCTTCCCCAAGCTCAAGGGGGTCATCAAGGGGACCCATTTAGAAGACGTGGACGACATCAAGATGGTTGTGACGACAGAGCTGCAGAGGATCCCTGAAGAATCCTTCCAGGAGTGCATGGTGGTGTGGCAGAGAAGGCTGGGGAAGTGTGTTAGACTCCAGGGGGATTACTTCGAAGGGGGAAAACTTGTGGTTTGGATTTGAAACAGTGGTGGCTGGTGACATTTTTTTGGTGGGGGGGGGCGCAGTCTGCAAATGGCCTTTTATTTTAAATCCGAAACAAGAATATGAGTAACATCAGGCACAACTACTTACAGGAAAGCAAATGTTCTACCTTTGGAAGATATTCTAATCATACATAATGTAATTTAACATTATTAAGACTGACCAGAACTAAATTTCAAAACCATTCATCAAACTTCCATCAATATTTACAAGAGCTGCACAAGCTCAAAACACATAAATAATGAATAAAACACTATTCAGGGCTCCAGACTAACTTTTCCAATGGTAGCACCAGTATGACCCACTTTCTCATTTTGTAGCACCTCCCACCTGGTCACACACTAAACATATGACTTGCTGAACATTTTCTTATCGATAGACGCTACGATTTACTGATGCGCCCTAAACGCCACACATAGCAGGCTGTGGTAGCTGCTGTTGGTGGCTGTGGTGCTCAGCCAGGTGTGCGACCAAAAATGACTTTAGAAATAATAAACTGGGCGTTCTCATGTCAGATTTGTCCGAGATGACCAGTTACATGTATTCTACACACGGTCTTTTCTATGAGCGGAAAACAGTGAATGTAGGCACGCTCTGTTTTTCAAGAGAAGACTTCATTTTTAAGTGTACATACTGCAGTACACCGAAGTTATAAAAGTACTACTTTCCACCACTGTGGTCTAGATAGCAGCTTCCTGTGCCGGTTACAGCGACACTAATACAACTTCATGATCATCACAAATGGAGCAGAACAAAAATGTGGCTCTCCTCTCTTTCTGCTCTGCAAACTTCTCTATGACTTTTCGGTTGAATTCACTCATCTCTGTGAGCAGCCTTTTCTCCATTGACCGCACGGCCAATGCATGAAGCCATCACGACAGTAGCTGTCATTTAGTTGAAGAGGAGGGGAAAGACGGAGAAAGTGTAGTCCTAAGAATGTCGAAGGACAGTTCTGATATCCAACCACAGACGACAAAAGCAAATAAAAACAAAATTAATTGGCTTACAGCAAAAGTGGGAGGGTCCGCAGCTACCAATCAGAGCCCGGGACGAGGTCACATGATCACGAAAAGTTTTTTTTGAGCTACAGATACTCATGTGGCCGGTGCCCACATCCAGGATGTGTAAAATTAGTAAACACGCAGTAAAGACTCATTTTAAATCTGTTAATAGTACAAATATTGTTAATATGACAAAATAATATGAGCCTTATTATAAATTGTATTATTATTTGTTATAATTAATTAAAATTGAATATTGTGTTTGAGAACTACTTCTTATCTGGTCATTAGTAGTGGGGCGGCATATTAACCAACCACCACTGATTTGAAATATATCTTTTGTGACACCAGTCCTGAAACTTTTGTGACACACCTCGTATATTTTGTTTTTGTGCTGCAGTGTTATAACATGTTTCGTTTTCCTATAAAGGGAATTTTTAGATGATATATATAAGGCAATGATTTAAATTAGATTTGAACCTTGGCTGTATGCATCACATTACCTTACAGTATAATTATGTGTAAATTTGCTTAACTTTTCAGACTACACTGGAAGTCTTCCTGGAGATGGAGCACTTGGACCTCATTAGTGACACTAATCTAAACACACTGGAGACCATATTTCAGTCAGTGTGTCCAATGCTGAATGGAAAGATCAGCGAGTTTAAGGCACAGCAGGGTAAGCTGCCTGCAACGGCAAACGTAGAAATAAGGACGCAAAAGCTGGGGACAGAAGGGTTACGATCAGAGTGTTCACTTAAGAGTTAAAGAAGGATGTGACAGAACGTTGAATCAGAAGGAGGAAGGGGATGTGGTGACGTAAAAAAAAACAGCAGACGAGACAACAGGGCCGGAAATAAATCACTTAAAGTGGTTTTACTTTGACGTACAGGCATTTCCTTTAAACTTACTCTTACCCAGAGCATCATTTTATGTCAAACCCCAACGTTAATTGTAAGAATTTAACATCAAACCAAGAGCTGCCCATGATGTTAATAATTTAAACAGCGAACCGATGCGTGAGGACGATTAGGATGTAACAGTTCATCTATCTTGCTCATAGAATTAAGATTTCAGCTGCGTGTGATTTCAGTATTTGCTGAATACTCTACGTGCAGACCACCTTACTGTAGTTTTATTTTTGTCTTTTTTTTCCACAGTATCAAACACCAACCTTATAGCTCAAGAAATAAGCCGACCGAGGTCTTCATCTTTTCCCTCTTTACCAAAACAGGTACAAGCTTTCACAAACTGCTCTGAGTCTCTAAGAGCTGCAGTGAAAGATTTCCTACTACAACAATCTCTTCACTTTTCTATAAGGTCGGTCACTCCTTGCTACTGATGTTTCATTCTTTTTACTGGGCTGTTTGCTCTGCTCTATATTTTATCAGGGTTCCCAATCTCTGCCAAGGACTGGCTCGTGCGAAGTACAAGGTAAAAGGATATATAACAACATGTTTGCCTCTGCAGTGTATTCACATGCTTGTTTCTTTATGATGTGTTATAACATTTTTTAAAAAATCTATAATTACAGAACTCATTTTTGTAAAAATAAGGTGGCGATTTATTTTGAAGATGTTAACTATAATTTCCTTCTAAGTTTTCCTTTTATTAAGTATTTTGTCTCATAATTACGAGATAAACAAAACAACAAAAATACATTTTTCCAGCTTTTTATACACATTTAGTCATTATGCTATAATAACACTGCACTGATAGATGTATGTAGCTATACTCACTGCCATCACACATTGAATATATGTTGTAGTTTCACTATTTTGTTGAATATTACAATCCTAATTTTTCCATTTTTCTTTTTTGAAGCATTTCCACCATTGTCTCTGGTAAGTCAGTACATTTCACCCATATGACGATTATGGTATTGTGATATTTCTCTTTGTCTTTAGTCATCATTTTTAATGTCTCTTGTATCCCACACAGTCTTCCGTGAATTCCTCCAACACCTCTGTTGGTGAGTTTTGCATTGAATTGTGTTTTTGGTTTTTTTAAGCGCAATGCAGTGAATTGATTTATTCCTAATCCTCTTATTGTCTCAGATTTACCTCATGGTGCGGAGGAACGTGACACCGTGGAATTTAAACTGAGGATTTTAAGCATCGAAACAGGCAGCGGTGCCTCATCGCAAGGTCTTTATACATATCCTCTGTTTTAAACTGTTGGTAAAATCACAGACCTTTTAAATATTTACATGTCATTGATGCCTCTTAATTTACTTTTTCTGTAATTACCGTCCTTCTGCCCTAACATAGTGAAAAACCATACTTTGGAATACTCGTCATCTCCAGAAAAGACCACCTCCTCTGGAAAGCCGACACCTCAGACTGCAAACACACAAACTGAGGTGTGTGATGTACCATTTCTTAGTTAAACAAGTGTATATGCTTAAATCTTGATTACAGAGTAGGAGCCCAGTGGGTTGATCCTTCCCTTTATGTGATGACTGACTCAATAGTTTGAACATGAAATCTGTGGTAAAACATGTTAATTCACAACTATTAGAATAGAATAGAATAGAATAGAATAGAATAGAATAGAATAGAATGCCTTTATTGTCACTATACACATGTACAATGAGATTAAGAGCAGCTCCTTCAGTGCAATATAGAATAAAGAACAAAATAAAGAACAAAAAACAAAAAAAAATACAAGAGATTTAAATATAAAATAAGATAAGTTTTATATATAAAGTATAAGTTATATGTACAGTATGAATATAGAAAATAGAAAAATATTGCACAGCATGGTCATTGATGATATTGCACATTTAAATGGAATTTACAGTAGGTGGATGTGATGTAGATGGGGGGGGGGGCTGGGGTGGACTGTGATGTCAGTGCATGTGTGAGTTCAGAGTGGTGATGGCTTTTGGGAAGAAGCTGTTCTTGAGTCTGTTTGTTTTGGTTTTGATGCACCTGTAGCGCCTCCCTGAGGGCAGCAGGTCAAACATGGCAGAACCAGGGTGGGAGTTGTCCTTGATGATGGTTTTTGCTCTACTGAGGCAGCGGGAGGTGTAGATGTCCATCAGGGAGGGGAGAGGGCAGCCGATGATCTTCTGGGCTGCCTTTACAACTCTCTGAAGCCTCTCCCTGTCTGCCATGGTGCAGCTGCCGTACCATACTGTGATACAGTAGGTCAGTAGGCTCTCAATGGACGAGCGATAGAAGGTCAGCAGCAGGGTGGGGGTCAGGTTGTGCTTCTTGAGGACCCTCAGGAGGTGAAGCCTCACATTCCTGTCTTGCCTTCAAGTATTTAATCTTGGATATGGCTTTGTCTCCGTAGGGTTTGGAAACATATCCCATGATTAGTGCAAAGAGAGGTATCTGCTTGATAATTAACAACTACGACTTCACTAAGTCTAGAGGGGTTTTAAAGAACCGGAAGGGAACCATGGTCGATGAAAGTAAGTGAAGGTTTCATTCATTTTGAAAGTCTCAAATGAAAACACATTTCCCAGCCGTGCTCTGCGTGGGGATGTACAGTTTGCATGCATTTGAATCTATCTGTGCTTCTTCCAGAGTGTCTGCAAGAGGTGTTTGAGTGGCTGGGCTTTGACGTCGAGACACACAGGGACCGTGGCGGGATGGAGATTCTGTCTCTGCTATCTGATCTCAGCAGGAGAGACCACAGTCAGATGGACTGTCTGGTCTGCTGCGTTCTCAGCCACGGCAAGGAAGGAGGCGTGTTCGGTGTGGATGGGCACGTCGTCACGCTCGACGAGCTGACTAGCCCTTTCAATGGATCAAACTGCCCCTCTTTAGTAGAAAAGCCCAAGCTGTTTTTCATCCAGGCCTGCCAGGGCAACAGCAGGCAGGGAGCTGTCTTCATCGAGTCTGACAGCCGGGCAGACGGTCTTATTCATAGTGATGCTATAAGCATGAGAGAGTCCATCCCCACCGGTGCAGACGTCCTGCTGGGAATGGCTACTGTTCCTTTCTTTGTCTCCTACAGAGAGCCAAAAACTGGGACCTGGTTCATCAAGTCCCTGTGCCAAAACCTTGTTCAGATGGTGCCCAGGTTAGTGAAACAAAACCACAAATAACATAATGTAATTTATTTTTTTCTGTGTTGGAAACCAACTACATTTGTGCACAATGTGAACCTTTTTCTGTGATTGTCATAATATTTAAGTTTCTTTCGTTTTCCCCAGGGAGTACGACCTCGTGTCCATCATGACAAAGGTGAATGCAGACGTTAGTCAGAAGGCCGATGTTTTGGATGGTACAGTGATAAAGCAGATGCCACAACCAGCCTTCTCACTCAGGAAGAAAGTTGTCTTTCCCGTCCCCAAAACCTCTCCTCCGATTCTTTGAACCTGATGACAACAGTCTGCTGTCTGTTTGATAGACTCTCACAACCAAGAAATCCCTGAGAAATAAGTGTGATTCTTTGAAATTACATTTTTTATTTCTGCTGGGCTTCTTTGTGCTGCCAGTGCCCTTTGTTGTTAAAGATAATGAGACACAGTTAACAGCTTAGAAAATCTTGTGAGCAGTAAAGATTTGACCCAATATTTTTTACATTCTGAAGCGATGGTTGTAGCTGGTCTCAGGGACACAAGTACAACCCAGCTACCCTCTTCACTTGAAAACATTGCCAAACTAAGCACTTTGATGTGATTTTTAATATTTGTAGAAACAAAATATATGAACTGATTCTGTACTGTACTTCTATCCAGGAGTAAATATGCAACACTTAAGCTTGTTGCTCCTGCTGTCAGCATACACACAGCTGTCACACACCAAAAATCAGTTTAAATGCAACACGTTTCTACAAACTAAATATATTTTCTATGCACTCACATACTGTATTTTGTAATATGGATGTCTGTTATTTGTGTTTCGTTTTATACATGCTTTGGGAAAAAAAAGCATCTGAAAAGATTCTTTTGCAGTCTGCTACATTCATAGCTGAAGTTTTTAATATTACTGTTCTAGCTGGAACCCAGATTCGACTGAATAGTGCCGAGGCAATTAGTCGCTGTGTTTAGCTTGTGAAATGTTATACACCCTGCTTTTCTTTGTTTGATTTTAATGTCAGTCCATACCTCGGTGAGATAAAACGTGCTATTTGAAAGGGTCACCGAGGGCTTCTTTCACTGTTTTCTGACATTTTATGGAACAACAAACAAAGAAAACACAACTGATTTTAGTTGCAACCTTATTGTGAAATCATCGAGCTGCATCACTACTGCTGTTATTTAGAAATCAGAAGTATTACCAAGTCAAACCAATGCTCATTCCGACCCTTCTTTTCTCCCACCTGGGCCACCACAACTCATTCTTTACCTGCCTCAATAATGCAGTAATTACCCATTTGAGGCAAAACACAACAAGGCTACTCACAATCGCTCGATACAGAGAGCACACAACTTCCCTCCTGGCTGAATTACCCATGTGTTAGAGAATTTAAGATTGTATTGATTACTTTTTATTCTCTACATGATACAGTTCCACCCTACATCTGAACTTTTAGCCCCTTATTCTGCACCCTGACCCCTCAGATCAGAAAATCTATTGCTGATATTAAAAAAAATTCCACAGTCCAGGCTTAAAACAAGGACAGGCTGTGGGTCATTTAGTTGTTTTAGCTCCAACAACGTGGAACAAGCTCCCTCTTACTGCCTAGAATAGCCGAGTCAGTGCCTCAGTTTACAAAGCAGACTGCCGTTATTATATTTGACAAATTCTTTTCAGAAGTTTAATTGGTGACTTTTTAAAAAATGTTTTCTTGATATTTGTAATATTTGATTATTGCTTTCATGTTTTATTGGTGCACTTGTTTTTTTTTTTGTTTTGTTTTTTTTTTAAAAGCCCCAAGCAAGTATGAAATTGTAAACTCAAAATGAATGAGTGTTTTGGTATTCATCATGTTTAGCATAATTAAGTTTACAGAGCTATAATGTGCAGTTGTCACTTGAGAAATAAGCGGCTAAAGTAAGGGCGCAAGGGGTAAAAAAATAAAATAAAAGTGAACTCGCACAATGAACAGTTTCCTACCAGCATTATTTTTTGCACCATTTACACACAATTTTTTTACTTTGTGCAGAAGAAAATCAAATGAGCTTCATAATGGGAACATAAAGACGCTTGATGAAGAAAGTCTGGGTTAGGCTGTGAGCTCTTCTGGCGGTTGTAGGTTTTGTTAAACCGGCTTGCTCAAACAAAGCCTGTTGAACTTGTCCCGTAGCACACCGAACTGCTCTTTCCGGCAGTGAGGGGGCAGGATTAAATTTTGAGCTGGATGACAAAGCCAACAGGCTAAAGAACACTGATTATAAAATTGTAAAGTTAAAAAGCAATATTGGTTAGTCGATTTCTATTTACAACAGGAAAAAAATCCATCAAAAGCAGTAATTTCACTTTGATTTGACTAAAAACTAAAGTGCATCCTTGACAGTGACACATTCTGTGACTAACACAGAAACCTTTAAAGTTCAGCTGGCATCTGAAAACACAGAGTTACACTTGTAACTGAAGTGTTTTTATGTTTGCTGAACAAAACCGCCCTGTATACGTCATACAGTCTCGTACTTACAGTCCTCAAATTTATTTATACCCTTCCATTAAAGAAAAGGCAAAATTCACAATAGTCACTTAAATAACTAGAACCTGAAAAAAGTAATAATAAATAAAAATTTGCTAAATTATAATTTAGTGAAATAAGACATCGCTTTTCAAATTGTGGGTGAAAAGAATAATTTAAAAAAAAAATAAACTGTCCTGGACAAAGGGTTGTTCAACAAAATATTAGTTTACAGGTCCTATCATGCTTGTTTTGGGTTTTTTTTTGTTTTGTTTGTTTTTTATATTTCTGTTGAACCACAATTAAAAAGCAATTTCACATTTTTTATTAAATTTTTATTTATTATGACTTGTGTCAATTTCAATTTATCTCACTGACAGCAGTTTTTTTCCTTCTTTAATGACGGATATGAAGAAATTTGAGGACGACTGCAGGCCACAGTCTCTCTTGTCTTATAAACGACATCTAGAAGTGGGGGGAGGAATTTCAAAATGTCATATTTGGAAAGCATTTAGTTTACAACTCTTAAGTTTATAATAATGACTACAGAACACAATAAAATACCTTTTTTTTCCCCACCTCAGGTCCTTTTCAATGCCCTCCTTCACCAGCAGGTGGCGGTAAACGCTTCAGCTCCACACTGGTTGACCCGCTGGTGACCCGGATGTTGATATGACGTTAAACCGGTCAGGCTAACATGAGTTGTTAGCGTCCACAGGCCACTTTATTTTCTTAATAAATACATAACTAGATATTTAAATGCCCGGACACACACATCGGAGCGGTGTTTAAGGGTTTATTTTTTCATTCTGCCCTCAATAGAGTCTTTATTCAGCCCGCTGACGACCGTTCATTGCAGACATGTCTTCAGAGGGGTATCAGTCACCAGCAGTGAAAACTACCGCCGAAACCAGGTTAGTGTTTTTACTATGACTAGTTCAAGTGTTAACCATTTACAGCAACACATTCACAGCGTTTGACCTCTTCCGATACGTGTTAAAATATATCAGGTTTAGCTATGAAGTTCGGATATCTAATTTATAGCTAGATATAACTAACGACAGCGAGTATGACCTACAGAGAACTAAGACTTAATAAATAACTGCTGCTGTCAGTACATTTTGACAGGTCTTCCTCGTTAACGAATGACTTAATAAACTGTGTTAAACTGAGCCTTTGATATTATTTGTTATTTATTTATTCTGTTTACGCAGTCTCTAGAAATAACGTTATTTTGTTAACCCTGTCACAAAAAACAGCGTTATACATTGAACTGAATGGTCAGAGCTAACAGTGACAACACCAGCCCTTAAGCTAGCTGACTAGCATGAGTCAGAGTAAATTACGTCTAACAAAACTACCCTTTTTATGCCATAACTTTGCAGGTAATACTAGAGAATAATTAACCAAACCACTCACTAGTTACTGTCTTATTAAGGTCGTGGTTAAGCAGAATAGCAAACAGCACATCGGTCCAGTGTTAGCTGCTACGACCTGTCAGCTAGCTGCAGCTCCAGTTCGCAGGTCCTTTTATTTAAGGCTCATTTTTATAAATTAAATTTCGGTATGATGGCTGGACATTTTCATGGTGCTTATAGTTGCGTATAATTGTTTGAGCAGATGAACGTGGAACCTTTAGGCATCTGGAAATCATACCCAAAGATGAACCAGACCTGTCCACAATTCTCTTTTTGCTATCTTGGCTGATTTCTTTAGATAATTTAGTGTTGCAGTGTGTTTGAGGTTAAAATACAACCACAGGTGTGCCTCCAATTAATTCAAATGTTGTCAGTTAACCAATCAAAAGCTTCCAAAGCCGTGACATCATCATCTGGGCTTTCCCAAATAGTTTGAAGGCATCTTAGTGAATGTAAACTTCTGACTTTGAAGAAAGTAATAAAAAATTCTCTCTCTCATTATTCTGGCATTTAGCAAATAGAAATAATTTTGGTAATGCTAACTGACCTAAAACAGGAAAAGTTTAGTGTGATTTAATGTCAGACAGTGAGAGAGAAAAAAACCTTTGTTTTTTTTTATACAGTGTGTGTAAACTTGTGGTTTCAACTGTATGTCAGGTTTTTAAAACAGGTCTTTGATTAATCCAACATTAGATGGACAGAAAATTTGTCGGCATCATTTAAGTAAGGATTTCAAGCAGAAATACAAAACATTCACGAGTTGTAGTCTCTAAAATTTGATTCACACATGAGGATTTGCAGCCTTTATTTTTATTTTTTTAAATAAAAATTGAATGTAGCTATTCTTACGTCCAGATAAATCTTGCAAAAATGTCAACATAGACTCGGAAAACTGTAATGGGCTTTTTTGCATCTCGTCAGATTTTGTAGTAATATGTAGGGATAAACTGCAGACAAAAATGTTTGATGTTTACATCAATTATAATAATATATAATTGCTAGGTATGTGCAGCATGAATTGTCACCAGCCGTAACTTAGTCCAGTCATTTGCAGTAATTATGCTACAAGTTCTTCCATACATCCTGAGTTTATCATCTTGTTACCAGTTGTTATTCTGCAGTTCTTTTATTTTAACAACATCATTGTTATGGTCCTCGTTCAATGTTGTGAATGCTTTTTGAACACACAGCTTAAATATACACGAAACACAGGGAGCCAGCCTTGGGAAGACACCCATACAGATCCTGCACGAATATGGCACTAAAAGTGGTAACCTTCCCGTGTACGTGATGGAGAAAGCTGAAGGAGAAGCTCACCAGCCCAGCTTCGTCTTCAGCGTGACCGTCGGAGATATCAGCTGCACAGGTACGCTACAGTCCTGCAGGATTATCACCAAATGAAACTTGTTATTGCTGCTTGGAGTTGAACATCACACACTGATAGTTCAGAGAGATGAAGCCCAGCCAGCACATGTTTTCACTTCTGCTTTGTTGTCATTTATGTCTGTTGCAGTAGTAAACTCTTAGATTTAACCTCCATATGCTCTGGTTTTTTGACACAGAACAGTGCAGGTCCAGAGAAGAGGGTGAGAGGCATTTGCAAAGCTCTCAGTGTTGAGGTGATAATATATTCCAGTCTCTGCACTTAGCATCTTCTAACAACGGTATGCTCTAGAAAGAGGCTTTTCAGGCAAAAAAATAAAAGTTTTCTCCATATGTTTCATATTGTCCTTCCCAGGAACCTCTTGGATTGACATTTTTTGTCTGGAATTTAAAAAGCTTCTGTGTTTTCAGACTTTAAAAGAGAATTTAAAAAAAGGTTGTGGATTTAATATTGTAATTGCAATGTTTTATCTAACACCTGTCTGATTGTGTTCTGTTTCAGGTCAAGGTCCCAGTAAAAAGGCTGCTAAACATCTGGCTGCAGAGGCCGCGCTGAACATGCTGCACATAGATGCTGGAACAGTGTGAGTAGAGCGACAACAATCAGCTGATATCAAGTCAAAGTTACTTTATTGTCAGTTCTGCTACACGAGTACACACACAGAGAACTGAAATTGAGTTTCTCTCGAACCCTCATATAAGAAAAACACACAGTTGAAAAAATATATATACTAAAAATATTTAAGATAAACATATAGTAAGCTGCAAAATATATAATTTAAACATACAATAGGCTAAACAAATGTGCAGTGGAAACAGTGCAGTAAACTTATTATGCTGTAAAGTGACTTAGTATATAATTAGATAATTATTTATCTAATGTAAAATTATGCAGCAACAATTTTGATAATGGATTATTTATTTAAATCATTATTTTAAAAGTAAACATGCCAAAAAATGTACTGCTTACAGTTAGTAAACTCACTTTATTTTGGTAAATTATAATAACTTGATTTCCTATAAATTATAATTCCTTTCTGAGATAAATATTCCAGGAAATAATTCGTAGTTAAACCGGTAATGACAATAATCATTAGTTCAAGCCCAAACTGGAGTGCCAGAGCCCTGCTTGATCTTAGTAATTTTTAAAAATACAACAATTATTTGATTAATCAATTAAACAATTGGCGACTATTTTGATAACCAGAGCCTTTTGTTGTTATGTGTGATAGTAAACTGAGTATGTTTGCATTTTTGATTGTTGGCTGAACAAAAAACAACTTGGGCTGTAGGAACTATAAATAGTTTTTCAGGACAAGAACGAATAAAAGTAATAAATAAAAATCATCAGACAATATGTTAGACTGTTGTTGCAGCCCCACAGTTCACACATCAGACTGATTCACTGGCATCATGCAGTTAATGTGGACGTGTTGTAGCTGCGGTGCTTTGATGTGCTTTGATGTAATTCCCAACAGGAATGTTCCTGGGAAGTCTGACAGTAACGGTGTTGCAGCAGAAACAAACAACCATCCCAACTCTGTGGGCATACTGCAGGTTTGTCAGTCATGGCTGTGCTCTTTCTGTGTGCGCATGTTTATATATGAACAAGTCTCTGTTTGTGGGTATTGATAGATTTCTTTCCCAAACTTCACAAAACACAAACTTGTATGTAAATATGTGTACTTCTGGAGATTAAAAGTTGTTAACTAAGCTGTGATTATACATTCCATGCAGCAGTAGAGTTCATCCTGTATAATGTGCATATCTAATAAATGAAATGCTAATGCTGTTTTTCTGTGTTTTTTTTTTTTTCATTATTTGGATTTTCATTTTAGGAGTTAGCGTTGCAAAGAGGATGGCGTCTTCCTGAATACTCAATTTTGACGGAGGCTGGTCCACCACACAAGAGAGAGTTCACTGTTACCTGTCGAATGGAGTCGCTGTCAGAGAAGGGTGGGAACATTATCCATGTGACAGGATTCAAATTGTCTACAGTTTACCATCCTGTGCTCAGTCTTTGTCTTCTGTTTGAACAGCTATAGGAAATTCCAAAAAAGCAGCAAAAAAGGCAGCTGCAGAGAAAATGGTGGCAAAGCTTCAAAGTCTGTCGGGCTGTTCTGAAATCACATGGGTGCGTCAAATATCCCACTTTTTCAGTGACCTCTGAAGGCAGCTGCAACATTTCTCATTTAAAAGTCTTTACATTTTTTAACGTTTTTCCGTTTCATTTGTATTTTTTTAGGCTCCTAAGCTAAGTGTCCGGTTTGATAACTTAAGGAACTCAGCAGCAGAGAAGATGTCTTCACTGAGAAGAAACCCGCTGAGCATTCCTAACACGGATTACATTCAGATGATGTTGGAGCTTTCCGAAGAGCAAGGCTTTGAGGTCACGTACTTCGATATTGGTAAGACACTCAGACATCTGTGTGTTTCTGTCGCCACTCCCGTCAGTTTGAATGATAAATGTTTTGCACTTATGAGGCCTCTTTTAACCGTAGCTGGGTTCTACAAACTGGTTTACAGTGTGTTTGTTATTCACACACTAACGCTGAAAGAAGAGTACATTCTAGTTCCTTTAAATACATCCATGCTTCCACCACATCTTAGTCCCGCCCACTGAATAAGCTAGGAGCAGTGCAACGAGGAGAGGAGTGAAGCTGTACATCCAACAGCTCTGTAGCATCTCTTGATGGTTTGTGTTTTACTATATATATATGCACTGTTGAGTAGTGACTAGTTATCAAACCAGTTGATGGTTTGTGACTTGTAATGATAGAGCAGTGTCTATTCGTGGGTGAAAAAAAAAAGGTTAATGTAAGAATCACACTTCTGAATGATTTGTTCAATTCACGACTGCTGATTCTCATTTTGCACGCGTGTGCAGAAATGATAATTAACACTATACAGGAAGAAATGATAAATATACTTTATATCTTGATTTGTTCGTGCGTTTCTGATGTCAGCATCAACCTCTGTGACAAAAACATTGCATTTTGAGAATACCTACGGACTGCTTGTTTGAATTTATGTGCTTGTGAAAACCACTGGGATCCAGCATCCATGTGAGGGCGGACTTTGTCGCGAACATTAAAATACTAAATGGATAATCAAACCATAAATACAATCAACATGATGTCAGGAAAAGTTTAGGATTATTTCAGGGAGTGAAATGTCCTCAGTGACGGAGGACGAAGGAGTGACAACGGGTCAAAGTGTAATTATCTGATTGGAAAGCACCTAGCTATAATATTTGTCAGTTCTCTTCAGAAATGTTGTAACTGTGCGTGACTTTGGCAGATGAACTGACGGTGAACGGCCAGTACCAGTGCCTGGCAGAGCTGTCCACCTCCCCCGTCACCGTGTGCCACGGCACGGGCCTCTCCTGTAGCAACGCACACAACGACGCAGCACACAGCGCCCTGCAGTACATCAAGATCATGGTCTCCAGCAAATAGACCCCACCGGCCGTCTCTTCAATTACACTGTCACATCTATCAGCTGATGCCCAGTCATTATGAAGTCTTCCTGTGATATCAGGTCCAGGTATATTTTTGTAACCATGCATTTCACGAAGCAGATCCAAGTCCACAGTAACTGAAGCTACATTGACTTTAGTCGTGCAACTTTATTTGTATTTGTGAGGAAACTTATGTAAAGTTAAGAATCAAAGACGAATTCAGTTTGTCATCATGTTAAGATGCCAAAACGTTTCACTGTAGATGTTTATGTAAATGTGTAAATGAAGCAGGAAACAACAAATGAATATTATGAAAGACTTATTATCTTTTTTTACATGCATAGTTTGAGCCGTCACTGTTTTAAAAGTTCACGTTGTTACAGTATTGTTTTAGTGAGAACACTTGGACCTCTTTTTCATCTCATTGCAAACGATTTCTTTTTCAGTTGAATGCTTTTTTCCACATAGTTTCTCAACAGTGATGTATTCAGAGAGGAAATGGAATTTTGTAAGAATGGGTGGGCTTCATTTTGATCCACTTAGAAATATCATTTATTTTTCCATATTTCCACTCTTCCACCTTCCAGTATTCAATCTGCAGAACAACCCCGCTGTCTTTATCTGGTTGACTTTTAAAATAGATAACCTACTGCTTTATATTCCTCACTGGTTTGTGGCCATTTTTCTTTGCAGTGTGCCTCATACGATCTAGAAGTAAAACGTGATATATTTAATAAATTTAACTGAGTGCTGTTTAAACCGAACCCTGGTGGAGAGTAATAGCAGCAACATGTGTATGACTCCTGAAAAATAAATCTGAACACTAAATGTTAATGAGTATGGGTGTCTGTTAATACTTGTACATTAGGCTGTAGTGAGAGCAGATTGCTCCTCCGGTGCCGTCAGGAGCTGTTGCAGTGTTATTGAATGAAACGTGTCTCGTGGGAGCTGACCACTTGACAGCCATCAATTTATCGGGCAGCATGTCCTGCAGTATTAGTACAAAGCCAATTACATCACAGCCAGCGCCGGGCGCATTCAGTCGTGATTTGTGCGGTTTAATAACACAGATGAGAACGCTTGTGTCCACTGAACAAAGAGGTGGTGAAATGTCTTTATAGACAATCTGTAATTTCTGGATTTTAAAAGTTAATAGAGCCATATAGTTGTTTTTTTGTGATTTAAAAAAAAAAAAGGATGTAAGACTTAGAAAAATGTTGAATTGCACATTTTTGTCTAATAATGTGATTAACAGTAGTTCAGGATTTGTGGACATTTATATTTGGGGTGTCAAAGTACACACGTACTAATCACAATAATTGAAAAATGAAATATTACTATGTCAATAATATTTATGTAATAATAGTAATAACATTAATTACGCTGCAGGGCTGCAAGGTGGCTCAGTGGTTAGCACCGTTGCCTCATAGCTAGGGCTCTTTCTGCGTGGAGTCTCCATGTTCTCCTCGTGCAGCGTGGGTTCTCTCTGGGTTCTCCAGCTTCCTCCCACACAGTCCAAAAACATGTTGAGGTTAATTGGTGATTCTAAATTGTCCGTAGGTGTGAATGTGAGTGTGCTTGGTTGTCTGTCTCTAAGTGTAGCCCTGTGATAGACTGGTGACCTGTCCAGGGTGTCCCCTGTCTTCACCCTGAGTCAGCTGGGATAGACTCCAATCCCCTGCGACCCTAGTGGGGATTAAGAGGAGTATAGATGATGGATGGATGGATAAAGCTGCAGCAGAATAAATTTGGTTGACACTCCAACATAACACATACAGTACTATTATGGATTCAGACTTTCACTTCCCTGCTCACAAATTATGAGGAAAATTCATTTGCTGAAATAGAGACAAAACACACAACAAGCAAAATGAAAGATTTTTGGACAGTTAGCTTTTTTTTTTTTTTTTTTGGTCAAATTTTATAAGCATATCTGTTTAACTTATCGTTAATTCAAAAATCCAGTTATAAAAATGGGATTGTGGTCCAGCTGTAATTTCTGCCAAACATAATCACTTGGTTTTCTGATAAAATAATACAGATTATTGTTGTGATTTCTTCTTTTTAAAGTTTTAAGCAGTGAGAGAAAAAGCTTGTTCAGATAAGCTTGTTTTCAAAGGACACGTTGCTCCTCTTTATTTTATGGAGCACCGAGCAAGTTTCAGCTCATTGTTCAGCTCATTGTTCAGCTGTAGGGGAGACGGAGGGTAAACTGATCCATGTGTGCTAGTTGCCTCCTTCCCAGAGAAAGTGGGACACTGACCCTTGACCTGGTTTACTTCCCCTGTAAGTTACAGCTTTCTCGTCTGAAGCATTTCGTGGCAACAGCAGAACGGAAAAAAATCAGCCTCCAGAAGTGGACTTTTCCTGACCAGGTAAATGGTTTTCTTATACGTTCAGTGTAGATAAGTTAGTACAGATATTCGTGGCATCAGATAGTGTAAACAGGAAGCTACATCCAGAGAGAATTTAACATGTCTGCTGAGTATAATTAGTTCTTGAAAGGTATATGGGGCAAGATGAGCCACTGCAGGTGGGTCATGTTGACCCCATTAGTTCATTAATTATCTACGTCAACATAACAGATTCAGGAAAAAACAAAACAAACAAAAAACCCCATATATACAAGTGCATACTGAGCATAAGGGCAAGTCTGAAATTTTATTGTGAAAATATAATTTTTTTTTTTTTTTGCCAAAAAGTAATCTTGTTGGTGCTGTATAATGTATATAAAATTATTACGTTCACTGTAGGCTAATACGGTATTGTAGCTAGAACTGTAAGAAACAAACCTTGATATTCAACACTTGGTCATTGTTTCTGTATTTGTTTTGTTTTTTAATGCTGACTGTCTTCATTGTATTTAATATAATGATTAGCCTGTTAACTTTGCTTTTTGTCAATCTCTAAAATACAGTTCTTTGATCTTGAATTTAAAATGAAAAAAAAAAAAGGCTTTTCACCAAATAGGCAGAGCCTGCATTGGGGATATTCCTGAATATTCCTGCCTGAAAATAACAAGTTATTAAATATAACTTTGATATGTTTGTGAAAGCAATTGATCATGATCTAACTTTAGAATTACAAACACATCAACATACCTAATATATATATATAGACTGTTTTGTTCTACTGCCAGTGACTTTTGTGGCTTTCATTGTAATGTTTTCCGGCTTTTTCGGTGCAATATGCAACTAAAATGGAACCCCTGAACCCTAACCCCTGTGAATGTGATGGAACACATGCATAAGAGGTGGAGAGTGGCAGCAATGGGGACAGTTACCAAAGACTGAAATACTGATCATATGACTCTTAACCCTGAATTGAGGAGATCTTGTTGAACACCTAAAGAATCTGGCAGACACGTCTTGAGACCTTTCTGTGGCAAAATGCTGCATCTTTGCCTACGAGTTTGCTTCATCAAACCAAATTCCAATGCCAAAGAAGTGGGTGAAAAATGGCAGCGCTGGGAATGACTGGTGGCTGGGCTTCAAGAATAGACACCATCTGGCAGTCAGGAAGCCAGATGCAACGTGATTTGCCAGAGCAACTGCCTTCAATCGGCCCATGGTGAACCTATTCTACAACAATCTGGCGTCGCTAATGGACGCTAAGTTTCCAGCCAGCTGATATCTACAACTGCTATGAAACTGGCTTCACAACTGTCCAGCACCCAGAGGAGGACGTCACGAGTAAAATCAAAAAGCAAGTGGGTGTGCTCACGACTGTTATATGTACCATCAGCACCTTAGAGAATGTTCTTTCTGGCATGTTTGCATTACCAAGAGTCAATTAGCTCAACCACTTCATCAGAGGAGCACCAACAAGACACACTGGGCAGACGACAAGGTCAAGTTGGATGAGTGAGAATGTCTTTGTAGAGTACCTCGACCACATTATCCACCACCAATGCTCTCCAGAGCACGAGGTCCTCCTGATATTGGAACAATCGGGAATCGCACAGTTCAGCCTCCAGCCTCTCGACTCCTTGTGTATGGGTCCTGACTGTTCTGCGGATGGGTGTCTGCGCTTACACCCAGCGAAGACGATTACCATCCAGGAAAATCCAGTAGTTCATGAAGCACACTTGACCGCCATTAATCCCTAAAACATCACGTCTTTCATCATGAGCGCTGGCCTTTATCCGTTTAAGAGAAACCTGTTCACTGATGATTGCGCCCCATCAAAAACCACTGACTGAGAGCACTCATAGGCAACAGCAGCAGAGGTATACGAGCCCATCAAGAGCGCCAGTCAAGCAGGAGCACGTGTTGAGAAAGGCACTGAGCGATATGTGGCAGGGCCGAGGAAGGCGTCAAAGAGAGATTGTAAGAAGAAGGTCACTCCAAGATTCTGATAAGCACTCTACTTAGAAGTGAAATAGCAGAGGCCTGTGAATGGAGTGGACATGGAGGGAAAACATCTGATAATAGATCACCTCTGGCTAAGGAAGCCCTCTTCATCAACAACGAAGCCAGTCCTTCACAAGCTGAAAGTGAAGATGATGCTTCAGACGAAAGCTCAAAGGATGAAGAGTGCACTGAGGGCGACTGCGTTGTAAATGGCAAGTCGTGTATCAAGCACTTCATCTGAGTCTTTTTCAAGAGGATCAACAGCATCAGCCCATTCATGGAGGGGTGGTCTTTACACCAGATTCTGATGACGAAGCAGCATTCAGTAAGGATGATGTAGGAACTTCCTTGGCCAAAATCTACTCGGGTGTTCAGCTAGAAGAAGCTGTCAGCTGTTCTTCAACGCAGACATGAGTTAAACAGGGAAACTAGTTGAGAGATTTTTTTCCAAAAAGCTCAAATTAATGGATCTCCACCAGCTTGTCGTCAAGTTCTACAAGAGTCTGTTAAGGATCCATTAATCTGGGTCAGGTGTGTTGCAGTACAGAAACGTCTAAAACCTGCAGGACATAACTCACGAGGACTGGAGTTGGAGATCCCTGTCCTAAGAGCATGTTTTTGAAGAGCTTGTATCCAGACTTGGGTTGAGTTTCCATTTTAAATTTGAACTTAAACAGTCATGTGATATAGAATGTGTGAGTACGACAGAACTATCTGTACATATGTGGCAAAAACCAAATGGCTCCACTTGGTTCAGTCTCACCTATGATGAGCAGCTTTGTTTGGTTCAGTCTTGGTATTTAGTGTTATTTTAAGCTAAAAAAGAAAAAAGAACTTCCTACCTGCTCAGCACCAAACAGACACAGAAAGTATCTGGAGAACACAGTGAAGCATTCAGCAACTTTAATTAGCAGAGAGTGAATGTTGGACCACAAGGTAGTTAGAAACAGTTACTGCAAATTAAACTGCCTCCAAAGTCCATCCTCACTGTCTTTCTGTGCACATTGAAGGTTTTCATATCGCTGTCGTTGCAGATTTAACCATGATGGCTTCATGTGTACAGTGAACACCAAAACAAAACATTTTTTGATCTGTGGAGGGTTTTAATTGTTTAATAGGAGTTAGTTTGATTTGATAAATTTGTTGATGAACAATTATGGCTGAAATAACTGCACACTGTTATGATTAGTTGTTTAGGCAAGGATTAAAGCAAAAATGTCCAAAAAGATGTATTTATAACTCTTAAATTTGCTTTTTTTTTCAGTTTTATATCACTACAAATGGGCTGCACGGTGAATTGGTGGTTAGTACGGTGGTCTCGCAGCAAGAAGGTCGACAGTTTGCATCCCGGTGAGGACACCCAGGATCTTTCTGCGTGGAGTTTGCATGTTCTCCCCGTGCAGTGTGGGTTCTCTCCAGGTTCTCCACCTTCCTCCCACACAGTCCAAAAACATGTTGAGGTTAATTGGTGATTCTAAATTG